GCGGAAAGCATACTAATAATAAAATAGTACTTAAAGCTACTGTACTAGTATACTACTTAAAATGTTTATACTAGTATATTATTTATATTAGTATACTATTTATACTAATATGCTATTTATACTAATATACTATTTATATTAGTATAGTAATTCGGTGCTTTAAAATTATTATACTAATATGCTATTTGTATTAGTATATTAATTGTACTAGTATATTATTCGTACTAGTATAGTAATTCGTATAATATAATCGTACTAATATAGCTATCTAAGGACCTTAACTCTTCGTACTAATATAATATTCGTAGTAGTTTAGTGTTCGTAGTAGTATAGTAGGTACATTATTATGCTAAAAATATTAGTATACCGCTAACTTAATACGGGCTTCGTTTTAAAGTAGTATTTAAAGTATAAACTAAGTACTTTTTTAGTAGCGCCTTGTTTCCTTTATACTATATATATCTTATTACCTTATACTTTAATTTTATCTATTTATAAAGCTTAGATCTACTCCTATATAGATTTTATACTAACTTGCGTAAGAGACTTTATATACGTAAGAGTTTACTAAAGTAAGCTCGCTATTAGGAAGTACGGGAGGGGGTTTAAGTAATAGCGTAATAGGCACTATAAATAAACTAGCTCCCTTATTATTCTTAATATATTTTATTAGTATATTTACTTTATAGGAGTATTATAGAGGTAAGAGCATAGTACTCTAAAAACGTCCTCGTTTACGTTTATAAAAAACGTATTAGAACGATATAGACTTATAATAGTTTAAAGTAAAAAATAAGGGGAAGCTAATACTTTTATAATAATATTACTAGTAGTAGTAAGAGGGTCGTAGTATTTCGACGTATTATTAGTTTAGTAGCCCTCTTTATTACGATTAGCGATTAGGCACTTTACTTACTTACGGGACTAGAGGTTATAGATTTAGCGTATACGAGTAGTTACTATTTATAGAAGCTTTAAAAAGGAGCTTATAAGCTTAAAATATAAAAAGCGCTAGGTTAGCTCGTTTATAGTGCGCAGTGCTATAAACTAATTACTAAAGTTACTAAATTAAAAATAAACTATAGCTATTATTAGCTTCCCCTATTTAAGTATAGTCTATAAGCTAAGACCTATGTTAATATAAGTTATCTAATAGAAAACGGCGATAGTGACGGCTATTTTAAGCTTAAGATCTAAAATATTAATATTATTAAATAATGTTTACGTTCTGTTTTAGAAGTATTTAAATATAAATTAGTAAGCGATAACTACTCTTGTAAAAGTAATACTTTAGAAGCTGAATATAGTATTTTAAAGTTAGTATCTCGCTAAGAAGCGAGATAGGTTTAGTAAGAACTTTACTAAAATAACGAAAAGTTTATTAGCATAGTATGACTAAATAAGGGAGCGATATAAAGCCGACGTTTATATTTAAGTCCGTAAGATATATAAATATTATATATATACTTTATTTAATAAGCCGTCCTAGTCTAAGATAAAGGCGGAGATAGTAAGTACTATTATAGAGTAATTGCCTAATATTAATATTATAAAGGATAGGATATACCCCGTCCCTATAATAAAAACGCCCTAAGACTTTATTAATAAGTAGAATTGTATATCGGCCGTTTATACTCTATAAAAAACCGTAATAAAAAAAAAGACGCTTTATATTATAGTAGGGGGATTGTTATACGTAGATCTTCGTAATATTCTAGCTCTAAATTATAAAGAAGATATATATCTATATAATAAGCTAGTAGGGTAAGAGACGATGTTTTTAGAAGGGTATAGTACGCGCTATATAAAAAACTATTCTAAAGAAATAATAGTTTAAAAGGGTAGATATAGTAGAACTAGCTAGTTAAATTTAAAGCGTTTTTATAATTAGTTACTGCCCCTATTTGTAAAAGCCTCCTAAGTGATTAATTCGAGGCCCTGCTGGGGTTCTAGTAGCGCTACTAAATCCCCAGAGACGTTACGGTAACGGGCCTATGCTATCCCGATAGTAGGGGGTTAAACGGCCTATATTACCTGTTTCTAGAGGTGGGAGACAAAGCCGCCACTCCTGACAACGATAGCCAATATGGAGCCAGGGTAGATTGCTTTGGATGGCGCGTTTGGTTCGCCCGCGCAAGCCCATTCTGGCACACTGGCTTCGGTACCTGCTGCGCTTAGAGCTGATTCCGATGCTAGTTAGAAGCGCTTTACAGCACAGACATAAGCCATAGGCACCCGTCGTTGCTTGCTAAGATCAAATGCAATCAGCAGAAAGTGGCTGTAAGTAGGTAGCCTCAAGTAGCTTTTTTTGCGAGACCCTTGTACTATCCTTAGAGCTAGGCCTAACACGACATGCTGCATGCCCCAACGAGGTAGACTCTTTTGGTTCCTAGCGCATGGGTTTCGATAGGCAAAGTGTACGTTGTCAACTGGCTGCGACCCGAATCGATTACTCCAGAAATGGCCTTTGCTTGGAATGGACGAACGCCGAGGCGTCGCCATTGAACCATGAACCACATGTCCGAGATGGATCTCTTAACTCATCGTTAGCCGCACGGGGACGATGCTCCATCCATTTCCCACCATCACCGTCTGGAGAGATTTGTGGACGTGTCCTAATCGGATTACATCCGAGTCTCACACAAAGTCAACGACGATATTGGCCTCCGCTTGTATGTATCAAAGCCTCCCTGGGTACTTCTGGTCTCCCATCCAGACGGTAATCAGCGTAAAGAGGACGCTCAAAGTGGACATGCTGCGTAGCTGTAATCAAGGACAGCCGCAATAACTTGAGTGCTTGCAGGAAGTGGCGTCCAGAACCAACGGGCTTTGATGGGGGATCGAGCAATGCGTTCAGACGAACGGCAAAGCATCTCACAACGCACGAATCAGCGCCTAAGCTTACGTTCCTTGAGCCTGATTACCAAGTCCTCCCTTACAACTCACGAGCTTACGCAGTCATAATCAGCTAACAGGAAGATCAAATAGCGCTTCTAGTTTCACTCTAGGAGCACTGTAACCCTGCCTAACATGGACTCGGCAAGATTATGATTATCTCTGATGGCAGGAAAGAAGTTACAGTACTGTAGCACAAAGCAATACATTGAATGTCTCTCACTTGGCCGGCTCACTTTCTGACTGCTTCGTCGATCGAGGACAGTCGGTGGATGTGATCTACAACTGCCGCTGCACAGTGAGCACTGTTTTGAGACGAAGTGCTGATGAACCCTACTGTAGCAGCAGCAGGTGGGATATGGGTTCCTCCATACAGGTCAGGCCACTCTCGAAGGGAACCTGCTCAAGCAGACTCCCGCGTGTGTGGCTTTGCTTGCGCAGATTGCTGCCTAACCGATTATGCGCTTAAGCACATTCCTGCGCAAGCGACTCTGCTTGAGCGTCTTGATGCGTGGGCGGCTCTGCTTGAGCGGAATCCTGCGCAAGCAACTTTACTTGGGCGGCATTTCTGCGCGAGCAGGCATGCCGAGGCAGTCTTCTGCGTACGAAGCAAATCTAATGACAGAATCCATCACGGCCAAGCCTGTCCGAGTTAAGGCAGCCAACAGCGCAAGCTCCCCACTCGACCCAAATTGGGGCAGAAGCTTATCGCGATGAAGGGTAGTGAGCACTAACGGAACCGTCGGGAAAGCGACCCGACGCAGATTGTCTAGTTTCGGGGCCGCAATAGGGTGTGGAAAGGTGCTCCACGATCTCCTCAGAATGGGACAAGGACCCACCGCGGGGTTGCAGTAACCATGTCAGCTACAAGGTCCATCATTGCTGGAAACTCGCGGTCGAATTGGGTATGTGCGAGGTCCGTTTTCATGCCCGTTTTCACACCCGTGAACGCACTGGCGGAGGTCCATGTTCACGTCGTGGTATCTGGTTGATCTGGAGATGCTATCTAGGCGCTGATGTGAATGCATTGCGTCACTCTACGAACTAATCGTGGGCCGACTCGATCTTGACTCTTCTCAATCGCGAGGAAGCAGTTTGCGCCGGCACGTTACTTATGGCCCTGTTCCGTCCGGGGTATGCCAAACTATAACTGATGTAACGAATCACAACACCCGCAGCTCATGGCTCCTGAAGCCTTGCAGTGGGTTTTGGTTGCAGACGTAGGCTGCACAGGCCATTTTCCTGTGATCCGAGCGGCTCATTGGCCACCATTACAAGGCGGCCGCCGTTGCCAAGGTCGAAACTTTTGAGCCTGGCCTTGGCTAGTTTTCCAAGTATTGATAAACGGCCGCTTCTACCTAGACTGGCAAGCATAGCGCAAACAACAGTCTTGCCAAGAAATAGACAAGGGTTGGGGTGCAGCAATGGCGAATGCTGCCGACTGATGCGACCCACGGCAGCGCATTCCTCTCCAACAACAGCGGGCGGGAATCGAGGTGACGTACGCTCCTTCCGGAGGCGATAGCGTTGCTGACTATGATCAGCTCGCCTGTGCGTGGATGTGTTTGACCTTATCCTGAGGAGAAGCAGCGTGTGAGAGTTGACGACATGATGAACTAATTGGCTTGCACAATGTGGGCCGAGATGCTTGGGTAGCCGCAACCCAGTCCGCGCAGGAGGGCATCGGAGCTGGCGCAATGCCCTCACCTTGCGTTGATCCGTCCGGTCCTCTTTTGTGAACCCGTTTTGAACCATACATTCCCGGACGACGGGAATGCGCTCGAGGGACACGGTTGTGGTCCCCTGAGGCAGGGCATTTGGCTGTCGCTCACGGTTTGAATGGCTATTATGAAGAACGTTACGTATCTGACGCTGAACTACGGTATTGGCTCGCGTCCTGACACTCCGATTCGCATCTAGTGCCGAACGGTAACTTTCGAAGAATTATCTCACAATAGCCATCGCGCGATCCTGAAAGCCACCTCAATATCAAATTCATAGTATCGTTTCTATCCCCGACTTATGCAGCCGTTATACAAGCCCACGGCCGCCAAGGCTAGAAATCAATTATTTGAAGGCAAGGTCGAGCTGGTTAGCATACTGAACTAACACTGGAACTTTCCTTCCCGATGTAAGTATAATAGGAGATCATAGGGAAGCGAGCCTAGGCTCTTAATGGTTGTCTTGGCTTTATTATCATCTAATAGGTCCTCGTGTACTACGAATACCTCGAGGACAACGTCCCGGAAACCCCGATTAGTATCGATAGTGGAGGTATAGGCCTCGGTAGCAGTATATAAAAAATCGCTCGGTTCCTAAGCCTATGAAGTAGTAGCCTTAAATTTATTTATAGCGAGGTCCTTGAGACTATTAACAGTATATTTTTTTATAATTATATATACCTTAGCGTATAGAAAGAAATAAGTAATGCTTTTAGCCTCGCTTAATTTTAGCTCTAGCAATTATAAAAGGCTATTTATGTAAAGCGATTGTTAGTAGTTTAAGAAGTAAAAATATTATATTATTATATTAACAACGTATAGTTTGTCGTCTAGAAGGTAGATTGAGCTATTAGAAGATTCTTATATTACTGCTTATATTAATACTAAAGACTTTGTATACGAGGAAAGATATACGTATTTTATAAGGACTATAGTATACAGTAGTTAAGAAGTTAGACTATAGATAGATAATAGCGCAGTAGATAGAGTAGGTCTTAGTAATAGAGGATATTATTAAATTTAAGTAGATCCCGGTTATGTAGAGCCTAGGTTATTATAAGCATAAGGCTAGGTAAAATAATAAGTAAAAAGCGAGCGTTACCTCTTGAGAGATTTAAAGAGGTCTTTCTAGGGTTGGCCGATAGAAGCTATTGCGGTTTGGGCTGGAACGGTTGCGGAGGGTAGAGTAGAGGCGGGTGGGGGTGATGTGGGCTTTTTGTTTAGGAAGAGCTCTAGGAAAGCCTCGTAAGCGTAGGAGGAATGCTCAAATATCTTATCCTTCTGTAGCGACTATAATATAGTAATTAAGCATTCAGTAGAAAAGCTAGGGACCTAAAGACTGCGTTCGTGGATAATAGACGTAATAGCCTTTTGCTGGCGTAGCTGACCGTGTTTAAGCTTAGAGAAGATAGCTTTGTAATCGGAATTGCGGTAGACACTAATTCTTTCGGATCGGGAGGGCTTTGTATACATACTGCGATCCTTACGTGGCATGTTTGTCGTAAGGACCTTCGAATAACGCAAGGTCGTTGCATAAGTGACAGGCCATGGTACTCATTATATCTGGGTATGGACGACACTACTGGTAGACTGTCTCCCATGCGATTGGCGGGCGGTGAGTCGAGGCAGTATTAACAGGTCTTCGGCGGGGTAGAGGCTTCTGGGAGTGAGCACAGTCTCGTATTTTTTTTGCGAATAATCCAGGCATGAAATTTTATCTTCCCACTTGCATCACCCTGCATCCTAAGGAATTATTTGTACTGAGGAAGATGACAATTGCCCTGTTGGACTTCGCCACGCTGGTAACATTCTTCACGAGCTTCCTTTCATTCTCCTCGGATCTCGCACATCATGTACCTGCCCCTCGGTGTAGCGGCTCGGATCATATACAACCCCACCTCCGACTACGCCGAGAACGTCGTCTCTTTGGCGGCTGATGGCCTATCCATCAGTCCGATGTTGAGGGGGTTGGCATATGAAGGAAGCCTAGGTTTATGGCTGAAGCAGTACTGGGGCGCCTTGAGGGCTTGGCTGTCCCAGCCACGTAAGCGGCCGCTACTCAGTTCCATCAGGAAAGCAAGCTTTTCTGGCCCCGCTAACGTAACTGTCCAGAGATCATCGTGTTAGTAATGACATGGGCGATTGTGTTCACTGTCGTGAGCATTGCCATACTTGGCCTCGGATTTGGCCCAGCCGGAGTGGGCGCCGGTGAGTCGCTTCGTCGACCCTGGCTGTTGACGTTCTCGGCCATCTCCAAGATAGCTAACTGCGAGGCGCAAGGAACTCTCGCTGCCGTTTTCCAGTCTTCTATGTACGGAGCTTTCACCCCTGCGGGAGGCCTATTCGCGACGCTGACCAGCATGGCCATGTTGGGAACATTGATGCCATGGGCTGCTGTCGTTTCTGGGGTTCTCGCAACATTGGCTGCAGGTATAGTGTGGGGATATGGCGTAGGAAGTGGATAATGCGCACACGAAGTGGATTCCCTGTCTGGCAGAACCAAATGAGGCTGCGATAGAGATGTACGATTGTGCAGTGGCCTATGTTCAAAAAGCACGTTCTACCAATCCAGGCCAGGCATTTCCAAGCCTGTAGAAATCCCCCGTGAACTGATCTGGGCCCGTTTCATTTGATCCGCATTTGGGCTCATCCACTGAGCAGTACTGAGGACGCAAGATCCAGAAGTTGCTACAACCACGTGTTCGTAGACCGTTTTGACGGTTTGGGCAAACCCCTCTGGAATACACCCCGAGCGGGTGCGAAGATGCGGCCGCCTAAGCCTCTCTGATATGATTGGGACGCCTTTCGGTCTTTTCTGGTATCTTGTCTCCTGGTCCTTGCCCCATTTCTCGTACCCACTTCCCCCTCCTGCCTTCTCTTGTCTCGTTCGGTCTACCCCTACACGGCTATTCTAGAATCGAGGTACATGGCGGAAGTACCTCGATTCTAGAATGCTTAGAGATCGAGAATTGAGAAAACAGGAGTCCACCTCAATTCCAGAATGCTCGGATCTCAAACTTGCAGTCATTCCAGAATCACGATAATTCCAGAAAGGAAGTACGCCATGGGTGTGCTATGATTCCGGAATGCCCGTGAATACAGAAAAGTATTCTAGAACGCTGAAATATCCCTGAAGTACTGAGATTCTGGAATGGGGTGATTCTGGAATACCTGCAACTTTGAGAAAACAGGAACACGTCACGATTCTGGAAACAAGGTACATAACCTGAGGACCGTGATTCTGGAATCAGATGATTCTAGAATCGGGCTGTGAAGTACGTACAAGGAAAAAGTTGCGGACATAGGTACATCAAAAGTACTGCAGTGATTGTCCAGGTTGTTTTGGAAAGAAGGGACAAGGCGGAAGTACACAAGCGTTGCCCGGCATACGTACAAATAGTCACATGGCACTTGTGTCCTATTTCCACATCTTGCTGATAACGGTCTAGTTTGTTTCAAAGCTGCAGTCCCATCCAGGATTATTTCCTAAATCTGCAAACAAAATGTAGACTTTGCAAATCCCAAACGCATTCTTGGAATACCACATTCTGCGGCTCTCTTTCACATTGGAGGAATTTGAAAGGGGCGGCGGCTAATGAAACAGCCCCTGCGGCGTCAACGACTGGTCTCTGTGCAGCAACCCTGGCAAAGCTTTCGATTGGCTACTCGCGGGTTGTCTTTCTGCCCTCCCTTCGGTACGCCTTTCTGCCGCCTGTTTCGAATTGTTTGGCTACCTCAACGGGGACTGCCGTTGTTAAAAGCCCTTCTAAGCTATACGATCTAGTGCCGTCTGGTAGAGGACTCCCGTAGGGTTTTAATTAGCTGGATAGTCGAATCCGATACTAATCTCCTTATTATATAATACTTAACTAAGCTAACGTAAATTATAATCGCTAAGTTTAGGGGATTTTTTTATATAACTATATTGTAGTAGCTCTCTTTAATATAGCGCCCCCTACTATTTTAGCTCTATTAATAAAGAGGCGCTTGTTTAACCCTTAATTTATTATTAAAAGCTAAATACTACGACCCTTTTATAAAATAACTAGCGGGTAGTTATTATTAGTTAAGAAGTTTGCGTAAGTAGTGTTTTTATAATACGGGACCCGTAGGCTATTGTTTTTAATATTGAGGTGCCCGGCCTAGGTAGTACTTAAAAGCGTAAGTATAAAAGAAAGCGTAGTATAAGTTATTTATATATGGTCCTAGCTAACTAATATAAGTTAAGTATAATATATTAAAAATAGTATAAATAAGTCCTATTTCGTAAAATCTTTTTTTAAGTTATATTACTATGCCGCGAAGTTCTAAAACGTATTAATCGACCCTTTTATTTTATTAAGAAAAAGTAGTTAGCTATATTCTAAAAGCGTTGAATATTGCCGTTTTTTAGTTAATAATTGTAAGAATTTAATAATTTTTATTATAATTTAATATCTAATCTATTATATTAACGTTAATTAGTAATACGATCCTATTAAACCCCTTAGTAAACGTAAAAGCGCCTAAAGTTATAAACGGCTCTATAAACTTTATAAATAACGGGTCTATTATCTAAAGTATAGAGGTATAATATATAAGCTAGAGTATAATAAGAAAAATAACGTCGTTAATATACCGTCCTAAGTAGAATTAATTAAGCTTTTATCTAAATTAAGCTTAGTCTCGGTACGATAACTAACTAACGTAGGTATGCTTAACTACTTGATTAATTAATCTTTTGATACTCTTCGAAAAAGACTTATGGTTAAGTCTTAGTTCGGTAACGGAGTCGAAATTATAATCGAAACTAGTATTTATTATAAACGCGGTTCTTAGGTTAGGGCTATACCTAGGGCTATGTTCTATTATTAAGTTAATAAAATATACGTTACGGGATAGTAGAATTAATATAAGAAATTGCCTAAGTATTTTTATAACGTTGTATAATAGACTAAGTAATCCGCGTTTTTTAGTACCCCTCCCTATTTTAAGAGATAGGATTGGGTTAGTTCGGTATTCTTTTTTAGTGGTATAATTATTTTAAGTTAAACTTACGATGTTCTTTATAGTTAATATTGGATTTAGAAGTATATCGGACGCTCGTTCCCTACTAATAATAGTAAAAGAAATAGGTAATAAGTAAACGGATAAAACGTCTATTTTTATAGTACCTAGCTTACTAGTATCGGGCCCTAAAAGGAATTTTAGTATTAGTTAAGATAAATAAATTAGCTTAAAGCTTTATAATTAGCTATACTTACTAAAGTAACTAAAATATCGCTTAATAGTTTTATTAAGAAACTCGATTTCGGCCCTAACTCTAAATAGGGAGTAAAAGATCGTATTATTTAATAATTATTATGAGTAATTTAGTAACGCCTTAACGCGCTCGAAAAAGAGAGGAAGAGTAGCTAGGCTATTTATTAAGTTATTATATTCCTTTTTTAATAATATAGCTATAGTAGCTTTATAAACTATAAGTATCTTATAAAAAGAGGTATAAATTCTCCGTATATAGATAAGGGAGGGTCTAATATTATACTAAGAGGTACGGAAATAATATATAAAAACGCCGAATTTTAATAAAACCCTATACTAATAATACCCTTATACCTCGTTTCCTTATTTAACTTATCCCTTATGGCGCTTATATCCGTCTAATAATAAAAGCTTTTATATTCTTACTAAGCGCTACTGTTTAATAAGACTAGGTTAATACCTTATTAATCCCCCCTTCTTTAATTAAAGCTAGCTACTTCGTTTTATTATATTTCTCTATTAACTATATGCGCATAAAGCTTTCTTATTATATAGCGGCATAACTTATTTCGGACTTATCGAAATAATAATCCTTAGAAATATGTGCGGTATTCTATTTAATAATAGCTAATAAGAGCGGGTTTTAAGTAAGGATTAAGATCCGCTATAACTATGCGTCGTTTACTCTTAGTATAATAGCGAAGCCTCCTTATATAGTTAAAAAATCTATATATAGCTCTACGTAGCTAAGACAAGTCCTTTATTTACCCTAGTTTTATATACTTATAAGTTATCTCGGTAAGTAGTTCTAATATAGAGGTTAACGTAGTTATCTTCTAATAGCTCTTTTAGTACCCTAACCTAGTTAATATTCTTTAGTCCTAAGGTCGTCTATTATATTATCCGCTTTTACTTTAAGAGGGATCTATAGTTAAATAAGAGTTCTTTACTAGATCTTTCTTAGTTAAATCCCCTATTCCCGAGGTACTACTTACCTTTATAAGTACTTAGATAAAGCATATTATCGTCGACTCGTTTTTTAGTAAACTAGTATCTAACCGTTATTATAAGCATCGGATTTAGTTTATTTATCTTTTTTTTTTATTACGTTAGTTTTTAAACTAGCTAAAGAAGCTTAGCTAATTATTTAAAAAGTCTAAGTATAAGTTATTAGTTTTATATAGTTAAGCCTAAGAAATAGGTATTTATTCTTAATAAAAACGTAAATACGAAATTAATAACGAATCTTTAGCTCCCTACTACTAAACACTTTAGGTAAATATATATTAAATACGAGTTAAGGGCGGGGTAGTATAAATACCTAGTCCTAATTTAATAAAAAATAGGACGCGTTAATGCGTTAACGCGCTAAGCTAATTTTTAATATACTAGTTATATAATAAGTACCCCGCTAGGATAGTAAAGGAACGGTACTAGGGTCCGATACCGAGGTAGTAAGAGTTACGTAAAATTATATACAGGGCGAAATAAGTAAGGAAATATATTAAATAACTTAGATATTTAAATTAACTTAGTTATGCTTATAATAACTTACTCTCTAAGCCTTCTTATTTAAGCCGTAAACTAGTTTGTTAAAGAAAAACTAGAGGGCCGTTATTAATATACTGACGGGGTAATAGCGGAGTAATAACGTTATTAATAATACGCGGTAATAGCTTAACCTCTAGCTAGTATCTATAATAGTGCTTTAGAGGTAATTACTTAATAAACCTAGTATCCTTTCTAAAAAGAAGGCTATATTGGGGGTTTTTTGTAGTTCTTATTAAGTATTAAGTTGGTAATTTCTAAAGCCACTTTTTGAAATCTTACTTATTTAAACTTTATAGTATTTTATTAATACCCTGTTGCTATTATTAAGACGTACTGTATAAGACGTAGCTTAATAAATTCGTAATATATTTATTTAACTTATATACTACCGCGCTATTACTTTTCTTTATAATAAGCCTCTTAATAAAAGCGCGCTTAGTAAAAACCCTCGCTCTCGCTTCGTTACTATTAGTAATTACGATTTAAAATATATTATAATAGAGTCGCGGGATTCTTATATTAATAATGCCCTCTTTTTTTATAAGAAGCTTTATCTCGTATACTATTTAAAGGTATATAAGGGGAGTTGAAATAATACGTATATTATCTCTAATTTAGTTATTAAGGTACGTAATCTTATTAAAATAGCGATCGCTTTACGTTCGTTATAATA